GGGAAAGCGGCCTTTGTTTATTGAGTATAAGACTATATATACTCTACTGAGAACACTTAAATATTTACAGATCAACTTGTGCTGCACATGCTTTTTCTATAGACGTGAGTCATATTACTCTCTGATGTAAAATCCTGGCTCAGGTTGGGTTCTCTGGGAGCAGAAACTGAGATGGGGAGTCTGTGTAAGTGCTTTGTTGAGGGAGAGCGCTCAGGAGAAGGGGAGTGAAAGAAGCAGGGTAGGGCTGGAGAAGGAGCCAAGCAAGGAAGCAGTCTTAGCTGGAGACTCCCCTCAGCCTGATCTCACGGGGCACACTGGAGCATGATTTGTACCTCAGAGTTGGTCTCACTTTGAGGCAAGGGGCTGGCCTTTTATACCTCGCGTCAGTCAGCCGTTGGCTGTGCGCTGCTCCCTGGGGTGTGTGGAGGGCAACCTCCCTGAAGAGGTTCCAGGTTGGCTGAGAGCAAGTCTCCAAAGAAGGGAGCAGCTGTGAGCCATTTGCAGACAATATTACTGATGGGTGCATTGCCTGGTGACAAGAATCTTGGCGGTGAACCAACAGTGTCTACAATAGGTCTGAAATTTTTACATGGTAATTATGTCAGAGTCTGGCTAGATGTTCCCCAAACCCATTTCTTCTTCCTGGGTACACAGCTTGACTACATTTCCCAGACTCCCTTGCAGTTCAGTATAACCACATGACTCAGTTCTAACCGATGGAAAGCAGGGAGAAGTGATATGTGCCACCTCTGACCCTAGCTCATGAAATCCCCTGTGCAAGCAATCTTCCATGCCGTCTCTCTTTCCAGCTCTGTTGAGCTCCCTCTGTCTTTATTTGTATAACTGCCAGATGTGGAGCATCTAGTGGAGGACTTTGAGGACCCACGGGATGGAGGAGCTACTAGATAGTGTCCCCAAATGAACATGAAGAGAACCAGTCCCCTTCACAGACCCTTGGACTGTGACATGAGCAAGAGATAAATCATTAGTTATTTATCATTATTGTTTGTTTCAGTAGTTAGCCTACCCTGACTCATTTAGTGAACCCTCCATTTTTCAGAAACATGAATAGCTTCTGAAAATTTGATTTTCAGAATTCTATCAATAATAATCTTTGCTCAAATCTGTGATGACTGAAGTGCTGACTAACTAAAGTAAGAATTTTTTTCTTATCCCTTTAAAACATAGAAAAAACCTTGGACAGTATGTTTGAGTATTATGGGTGATTAAAAAAAGCACCATGAAAATATATGGCTAGGATAATTCTTATCCAAAATCCTGTTCAGGGAAGCAAAGCAGGAAGCTGCCTTCCCAAGGTTAGACAGCTTGCTATTGTTAACAAGTAGTGAGAACTGTTGGCTCCAGTTTGTCTGACATAACTATTGGACTTTCCCAGTGCACAGAAAGCTTTTTAATGTTTCTGCTCAGCCATTCCCAGGGCTACAAACAGGCTTCATTCCGTGGAGAAAGGTGAACTGTCTGGTACTTTACATAAGAGGCCAGCAGGGCTGCTGAGAACAAGCTTTTTGTTGCTTGAGAACAGCCACTTTCTCAATTTGTCAAGCTTTTGCTTCAGAGGATAGAGTTTGTATAGGAAGGAAGAGGACACATTAGCTCTCTCTCTCTCACACACACACACATACACACACACACACATGGGTGGGTACAGGATGTAATTTCACCAATGTTCAAAACTGGTTTTATGGGAGACAGTAACTTGTAAGATTCCATTGTCATTAGTGGTTTGTAGGGCATACGGGGGTCCAAGTACTCCAACCCCTCTCTTTCTCTGTGAGTGTAGAACGAATTGGGTGATGTCCAAATGGCCAACATCAGCTTCACTGTTGCTGGAGCTGGATTGGAGATTCAGATTGGGTTTGTGGCCACAATCAGGCTTCCTCTTTCTCCCTATCCCCTTCCTTCCCCACCAAAGAGAGCATCTACAAAATAGCCCCTTACCTGGGAAGCTGCAAGGAAAATGCTGTCTTATACCCATCAAGTCCTGCAAGTAGGAACAGAGAGTGGCCCCAAATTAGGTGTGCTTTTTATGTGGAATTAGGGGTAGTCCCCTTTGAGGAGTGGAGTCCCCTCTGAGGGCAGCAGAATTCAGAAGTGGTGGAGGTGTGGAGAGAGACTGAGAGGGAGAGAGAGAGAAGAGGACACAGTCAGAGAGACAGAGGGAGACAGACAGAGACAGAGAGGGACACAGAGAGAGACAGAGACAGAGACACTGTTGGAAACAGGAATCATCAGTTTCTTTTCCCTTCCATCACTTCTTCCTTAGAGAAGAGTAAATGAGAGGAGCTGGGAGAAGCGCCAACGTTACTTCATCAATATTCCCTCCTGGGGAACAGAGAGCAAACTTTCTCATGAAAAAATGCGGCCAGGGGAATAGGATTCCCTCTCACACTGTTGAAGATCTACCTTTCTTCACTTCTAGCAAAGAAAAAAAAGTTAAAATCAGTCAAACAAGTGATTATTTAGGGTTTACATGGCTGAGTCCCTCAATAACTACTTTTTAAAGTTCACCAATCTTTGAGATACAATCTAAATGATCACTCATGAAAATTCTGAACCTCAGAGAAGCCAAATAGAATTTTCCACACTGCCCTCTCCCAGGTGACCCGTAAATTGGCTGTAGGTATAAGAACATATTAGGTCTTCATACTATAGAACAGGAGTCAGAAAATTTTTTCTGTAAAGGGCCGAAGAGTAAATATTTTAGGCAACGGCTCAACTCTGCCATTGTAGGGCAAAAACAGCCATAGACAACCCATAAATGAATGGGTGAGGCTGTGTTCCAAAAAAACCTTGCTTATGGACACTGAAATGTGACTTTCACATGTCCTGAAATACTGTTCAGTGCAGAGAAAGCACTAATTTTTTTCAACCATTAAAATGTAAAACTCATTCTTAGCTCGTGAGCCATACAAAACCAGGCAACTGGTCCTAGTTTTGCAAACTTTGCTTTAGAAAACTCTTCCCTGTAGGTAACCAGTGCTTTGTTCTGAGTTCGTTAAGCTGTCAGCGTCATGCAGGGCACTGATGCTGGACTTAAAGGAAAAAAGCATAACTTAAAGACTTTCTCTTGGCGTTTTTTGAGTATATTATCATTCTGGCTTTTCTGGCCACGAGGGAGCCAAAACAAGGGTGTAAGTTTAGAATTGCAAAAAGTATAAGGAAATTCTCTTCTAAAATGTTCTTGTTTACTGTCAGCCTTAAGGGATATGAGTGTTTCTAGTTTCTACATTCTTATCTGTGTTTATTTTGAAGTTTGATAACTGTTTCTTCTATTCAAAAAACTGTTGTAGAAATAAAGAACAGTACTTAGCATTCCTTAGATATTAAACATTTTAAAAATGCCAGTTTTTCCTCCTGTGCCCTGGGTTTAAATGTTACTGCTGTTGGGTCACTTCTGGCTGTGCCTCTCATCCTTCCTTGAGCAGCTTCCCTCTGACATCCCAGAGCCCTTCAGAGGCTGCCCCTCCCTCCGGCTCCAGCCTGCTCTCCCTCACTCATCACTTTCTTGGCGCCAAGTTTCTAGGGCTCCTCCCTTTCCTGGGATCCTCTCTCTCTGTTCTGTCCTTTTGCCTTCCCAGTCCCATTCATTCGTCAACATCCATCTGGGGGGCCCCCTTTATCAAGCCTTCTCTCTTCTCTCAACTCCCACAGCACTTAGCCCGGGGTACACAATTTAGTACTTAATTATATATTGTCTTTTATTGTTTGTTTTTATTTGTTGTGTTTGTCTTTTCCAGTGAGGCTGTAGACTCCTTGAAAGCAACACATCTTGTATATATTTTTTAATCACTCACAATATTCCAGTAGGGACATGGTCACTACTTCCTGCTCTACCATAAGTGTTGATTGATGGATTGATAGGCACAGATGTGAGAATTTTTGCCCATTTCTGCAGTAGTTGGTGCTTAATAAATATCTGTCAAATTTATTAAACTGAGTTGAGTAATGAAGATCAGCTCCGAATCTAGTATTCAGTTGGGCAAATCACACCGTCTCTGCATCCATTTTCTCATCTGCAAAGTGGAGATAAAAATGTTTTCCCAACCTACCTCGGAGAGTTACTGTGAGGCTTACATGAGACAATGTAGCTTTGAACTATATGAATGTTAGGGATTATTATACGTCATATTTCTTTTTGCAGAAGTCACAGGGGAAAGTAGGGTTTGGCATTTATCACGAAGAGTGGGTTCCTTTCTAACCTCTACTAGGATGGTGGGCCATTCTCAGGGAGGCCCAATTACAAGTGGAAAGGTAGGAAAAGAATAAACAATCTCTTGGCTTCCAGTTTTCCTGAGAAGGTATTACGGTTGTGGAAAATACAGTGGTGGTGAGGTTTTGAAATGAAAATTCCCCAGCTAAGTTCGTCTTTGCTGCTCCTAACTTACCTATCCTTTCTATACTCTTGTCCCCAAGCCTACAGCTGTCTTAATTCTCTCTTGGCAGGTCTGAAGCAGAATGTGTAAGGAAATCTTAGTGAAGAGATAAGAACTTCCTGCTTTCGGAGTGGATCTTCTTCTCTATTTCATTTCTTCAGATTCCAAAATGGAAATATTACTCTGGCCATCATTCATGAATCGACATAACTTTTCCTTTTTCTTAAGTAGCCGCCTCCCCGCCCCCCCCCCCCCACTCCCCCCGCGGCCCCGTCTTTACCATCTGCTGATTTTTTCCTCTCTTCCTATCCTTGGTCCTTATTTTAGTTGACCAAAATGTGTTTGTTATCATCAGTGCTATTCTTTGAGATGTTTTTTGTTTTCTGTTTTTAATTAAAATAAAACTATTTGGGGTGAAAGTTTTATGTATCTGTTTATTAAAGCAAATTGTAAAACATATTTTTTGTTAGTGCTTAATCCGAATGACTTTTTCCCTTTGGGTGTTTCCCAGCAAGGCTTAATATATATATGTGCAGTTCTTCCCAGGGCCTTTTTTACTCTTATTATTCTAGTATTTAACACTAACTGATGTTATTCCTTTTTAAGGGTCAACTCCAGGTTTGAGCCATGCCTGAGAAAGTGGCCTTAACCTCGTCTCCACCCTGAACACTATAGGAAGTCACTGGGACCCCGTTCGTACGGAGATCTCTGTCCTCCAGCTTTTCAAGACATAAGCAGTGCTGCTATGGAAAAGGGAAGCCTAATTTCCCATGCCTCGTCCCTTTTCTGGGAAGGGCATGGCGTGCCGTGGGCACCACATCTGCTCCAGCGTCCTGGGGAGAAAACACCGCAGCCTTCCCCGCCTCCTGAAAACCGTCATTCTCCAGGTAGATGTGGATGTTCCCCTTCCCAAGCACGGCGAAGAGCCAAAGACGCCCCTCCTGCGCAGGGTGGGCGCGGAACGGCGCCGGCCCCCGCCTTCTCAGGCCCGGCTGCGCGGGCGGAGCAGGTGACCAGCCCTTGGGCGGGCAGCGAGCGGAGTTCGTTACCTGGCGCGGCGCGGGCGGGGCGGGGCGGGGCGGACGGCGGGGGCGGGGCCGGGCTGCGATCCCGGGCTGCGATTGGTTCGCGCCGCGCCTGTCTCCATGTGCCGCGCAGCGGAGGCACAACATTCAAGTCCGGGGGCGGGGCCGGCGCGCGCCGGGAGGAAGCGGCCGCGCGGCAGCTGCGGGGCGTGGGGGCGGTGGCGGCGGCGGCGGCGGCGACGGCCGAGGCCGAGGCTGAGGCGGCGGCAGCTGAGGTGAAGGCGGCGGCATCCCGGCCGTGGACGGTGCTCCGCCGGGCCCCCTGCCAGGCCCCATGGAGGCGGCGGCGGGCGGGGGCTGCGGCTCCGGGCCGCCGCTGCTGCTGAGCGAGGGCGAGCAGCAGTGCTACTCCGAGCTCTTCGCGCGCTGCGCCGGCGCCGCAGGCGGGGGCCCCGGGTGCGGGCCCCCTGAGGCCGCCAGGGCCGCCCCTGGCGCGGCCACCGCAGCCGCGGGCCCAGTGGCCGACCTGTTCCGGGCGTCGCAGCTGCCCGCAGAGACGCTGCACCAGGTAGGTCGCCGCGCCCCTGGTCTTGCGAGTCCGTGGGGACCATTTCTGTGGGGACAAGGGGGCGGAGTGGGGCGACGGAGCCGCCCACAGGGGCCCGGAGGCCTCGGCCAGGTCGCAGAGAGGGGGCTTCGCAGCCGGGGATGGCGGCGACGCCCTTGACCCCCGGGAGACAGCAGGCTTCTCTGCAGCTTAGCAGCGCTGGGTGCGCTCGCCGTCTTCCTCCCCTGAGACAGCCTGACACTCCCTGCCCTTCCCCGGCCATTTCTGGGGCCCTGCAGCCGCTTAGACCCAAAGTTTGCCTTGTTCTGGAAGTAGTGTTTGTTTTGGCTGGTGTCTGGTTTAACCTCTGCTCGCCGCTCCTGCCCTTCCCTCTTCTGGGTGGGTGGAAGGGGTGGGCGCTCAGGGTGCCTTGCTGGGATTTGAACTTGAAGAGTGTGCGTGTGTGTCTGTAGGGCCGGGAGCCCAGGACTGAATGTCGTCCGCTCTGTATCCTTGTAATATGTACACATCTACCATGTATATTTGCCCACTAACGTATTTCTGAATATTAGTATTAAACTGGAAAGCCTTAATAAGTTGCAGAGCAGGGACGCAGGGCTGCAGAGGACATCCGTCAAGGCAAAGCCAAGCTTCCCATTTAGGGTGAGAGGTGTACCCCAGACGTCCACCGCGGGGGACAGCTGTAGTTTCCCATCTTATCATTACTTGGACTTGAAATAGAACTGGAAAGTAAGGTGTGTCGTAGTTGCCTCCTCTTGGCTGCTCCTTATCTGGAAAAGGACGAGGGGATGATCCACAGCAGATGCTATTTTTGTTTTGTGCTTTCCTTGGAGCAAGACTACTTGATAAGCACTTTGTCTTTTGATGTTACCAGCACTTTATGGTGATAAGGTTCTTAATATCAGGCTCAAAACGTGAAATGAAGCTTTTCTTAAAAGCAATAGTCAGTATGAAAGTTAACGTCAATTGAATATTTAGAGTGGGGAGTGGTATTTTAAAATCTAGTTCCAAAGGAGTACTGAGAGTTTTAGGTTTCACTTGCAATATCATTATGTTTGTAGGTATTTTTTTAAATCACTTAAGGCTGCATGCATATTCCTGTATGTTTGTTAGCATAACTTTAGCCACTCTGTAATCTTTCACCTTTTAGAATTCAGGATTTCTGAAAATATAATTAAGATTTACAGAACTTAGCATGGCTGCTTGTCCCTTAAGAAGCCCTTGATATATAGACAGTTCTGTCACTGCTCATGGGCCGTCGAGCTGGACCAGGTAGAGAAAAGGTCAGTGTCTTAAAACACAAACCATGGCCATTACATGAGGCTCTCAGAATACTCTCAAGCATAATAAATTTATTAAATGCCGTTGTTACTTCTCACCTGAAAGAGGAATAAGTGTCTGAGGCCACACCAAGTAAGTGACAGCTGGGCAGCTGTTAAGGCTTATTTTGTTGTCAGTAATACATGGAGTGTGAGAGAAGGTGGGCATGTTAAATCTGAATATGTTGGTTGACTCCTAAGGAGTTGGGGTAGGGGCTTTCCTGGTGTTGGAACCCATGCTCCTTTGAGGTATGTATGATGTAAGAACCCAAAGCACAGTGCCTTTGCACGAATGAGGTTATATTCTTGATGTCCTCATGAAACTTGCTTGCAAAAGACTGCTTCAGATGCTGGCAGAAGGGGACATCCCTAGAAGATTGCTTGTAGTAAATCTCTCAGAGCTTTAAGATGTCTTTTTCACCCCAGCAAAACAAAATAGATCCTCCCCCATTAACCTAGCACAATTACAGTAAGCCAGTAGTCTTCGTACAGGTGAAAGTTAACATCAAAGGCATCCTGGACTGGGAAATATAATCAGAAGAGATTCAAACAAATCAAGCAGCTGGCAGCCACCTAATTTTTACCAACCACTTTGGTGGTGTGTGATGTAGTGTGTCTGGGTGTGTGCGTGCACATGTGCTGGCTCGCTCCATTCATTTTGATTTGCACTACCCTGTGAGTGTATTAGCCATTCTTTAAAACAAAGGTAGATGTTTTTAGTCTTTCCCTGTTAAACAGAAACCTGTAAGTTCAGAATTAAGTGGCCCAACAGGTATAACTGCCCAAATCATGGAGGCACTAACCAGCCCTGGTAGTTTCTATGGTAATAGCCAGATTTTCTTCCTAATAACCAAACAGTTAAGGTTATCATAATGTTCCAGCAAGGGTGAAAATCTTACCCAGAGTAAATGTTCTATAAAAATACTTAATTTTGTCTCCTCCTTGGAGTAAAAATAAACCACTACACCTGTTACTTTGTTACGGAAGTGAATTATCTTAGGGTTTTTTTCAGTTGAAATATATATATATTATTTATTTATTTAAAAATATTTTTAACAGACTTTATTTTTTCAGAGCAGTTTTAGGCTCACAGCAAAATTGAGGGAAAGGTACAGAGATTTCCTATATCCTCTGGCTTCACATGCACTGCCTCCTCCATGATCAATATCCCCCACCAGAGTGGTACTTTTGTCACAACTGATGAACCTACATTGGTGCATCATAAGCACCCAAAGTCCATAGTTTACATTACGATTCATTCTTGGTGATGTACATTTTATGGGTTTAGACAAATGTATAATGACATATATCCATCATTATAATATCATACAGAGTATTTTCACTGCCTAAAAATCGTCCGTGTTCTGCTTATTCATCCCTTCTTCTTACTCCCAACCCCTGGGAACCACTGATCTTTTTTCTCTGTCCATAGGTTTGCCTTTTTCAGAATGTCATATAGTTGGGATCACACAGTACGTAATCTTTTCATATTGGCTTCTTTCATTTAGTAATATGCATTTAAGATTCCTCCATGTCTTTTCATAGCTTGATGGTTCATTTCTCTTTAATGCTGAATAATATTCCGTTTTCTGAATGTATCATAGTTTATTTACCCATACACCAACTGAAGGACATCTTGGTTGCTTTCAAAATTTGGCATTTATGGATAAAGTTGATATAAACATCCGCGTGCACTCAAGTTTTCAGGTCCTTTGGGTAAATATCAAGGAACGTGATTGCTGGATCATATGGTAAGAGTATGTTTAATTTTGTGAGAAACTGCCATACTGTCTTCCAAAGTGGCTGTACCATTTTGCATTCCTCCCAGCAATGAATAAGAGTTTCTGTTGCTCCACATCCTCGTCAGCATTTGGTTTTGTCAGTGTTCTAATTTTGGCCATTCTAATAGATATATAGTGGTACCTCATTGTTTTAATTTGCAGTTCCCTAATGACATATGATGTTGAGCATCTTTCCATATGCTTATTTGCCACCTTGAATTAAATTTTATTGCATTGTAATAACCATTTTAAAAGACCTTTTGGTCTCTTTATAGAGTATTTATCTTCATATGCTGATTTATTTTAAAAGAAGGATTCTAGTACTAGATAGAAAAATGGTAGAATGAAATGCTTTTAAATTAGAAAAAGAGGGGCCGGCCCGGTGGTGCAGCAGTTAAGTTTGCACATTCCACTTCTTGGTGGCCCGGGGTTTGCCGATTTGGATCCCGGGTGTGGACATGGCACCGCTTGGCATGCCATGCTGTGGTTGACGTCCCACATATAAAGTAGAGGAAGATGGGCATGGATGTTAGCTCAGGCCCAGTCTTCCTCAGCAAAAAAGAGGAGGACCGGTAGTCGTTAGCTCAGGGCTAATCTTCCTCAAAAAAAAAAAATTAGAAAAAGAAAATATGAGTGTCTGAGAAACAGGTAAATAGTTTTTGTTTAATATTTCAAGACAAAGAACTACAAATGTTAGAGTGATTAGTTTCCCGGGTTATGAAGTATTTTGTTGGTATTCAAAGGCTAGCATTTTACTAGAAGGCATAGGATGTGGTGGGAAGCAGGTTTGGGTTTGACATGTAGTTGAGGTATTTGAGTTTCTGTTGTGCATCAGACACTATTCTAGGTGCTGAGGTTACAGCCATGAATCAAACACAATTCCCTGTCCCCTCGGAGCTTACATTCCAATGCAAATATTTCTATTCTTCAGAGTTTGAGTAAGAAAAGATTTCCAATATAGCATCTAAAAATAGAATATCTACCTTAAACTGGCAAGTTTGATGTTTGGCATAATGAATTAACAAACTATATAGGGTCCTTTATAATATCTTTTTTGTTGTTGTTGAGGAAGATTAGCCCTGAGCTAACATCTCTTGCCAATCTTCCTCTTTTTTTGCTTGAGGAAGATTAGCCCTGAGCTAATGTCTGTGCCAGTCTTCTTCTATTTTATATGTGGTTCACTGCCACGGCATG